GCTGTGATGCATTCAATCTCACCTTCGTGCCCTTTATGACCAAATCTTATCTTTGCTGAAGCATGTTCCCTTTAATTGGTTTTTTTAAACCAAATGAATGTATTTAGTGATTTATATCTAACTCTGAATGTGTATCCGGTGTTAGTTTCTTTAACAGTGCCTGGTGATTGCAGCTTTTGTGTAAATAGAAGAAATTGTCGTTAAATGCTTATGTATTCAAGAAAGTGTTTAGACCTAATGTGTTTATATATAGTTCCCCATATCTTTTACTGAGTATTAGTCCAATCATTAAATTAACTGGAGCTTGAATTCTTCGTGCAAATGTAAATTCAGCAAATATATTGATGACCAAAATGTGATTGGACACCACCAAATGTGATTTTATATATCAGACTGCTTGGTATGTTTTTTTATGTTTGAGTAATTATTTGGTGTCTGTTTTTAAACTTAAGATAAGAAGTACCGTTTCGATGGCCTTGTCTTACAGAAAGATTTTTAAAAGTAAATATTTAGATGTAAATTAATCTGTCCATGTCGATTAATGAGTATTAAGGTAGGACTTTAAAAATATGGAGAAAGACTACTGTGAACTTTTTGAATTTTTAATCAAATGATTTTAAGGTTTTCCTTTTTATATAATGTATAAGTTACCGAATTATGAATGTTTTTTCATCATTTAAGTGACGTGGGTCCCACTTACAAAATAATGTGTTTTATTTAACTTTTAAGTAAAATAATGAATATTTCTATGGCTTTCTTTGAATTCAAGACATATATTTTTGTTACGATATATGTTTCCTTTTTATTTTTAAACCAAATCTCTGTCTGGCAAAGTATCCTCTTTTCGTTAGTTCTAGATGTAAAATATTTTGAAAATATTTGAAATGTTAATTTTTATCTATGTTGTGCGAACGGTAAAAAAGAATGTCTACAACTTACAAGAAACGTATGGTTAACATAAATAGGACAAGGGACTTACTTCGAATGATTATACCTGTTAAGAATAGTTGTAAAATTGTTATACGGGTAATGAAAAGTGAAAATTTCAACTTACATGAAACATCGGATAATAAAAATGAGACAATTACAAAAATAGTGATTATACAGCATTCTGTGAAATGCTCTGGGTCAGGATTTTCAGTGCATAACTATACTGTATATACACAAACGTATAAGGAGTTTTTGTATTAAACGGAGCACTCATGTAACTTCGTTGTACTGTTATAGTGTTTTCTGGAAAGTTACCATTGGTGACGGCAACTAAATGCATACTGGTACTAGTACATTTTTCTGGAAATTTCATTTCAAACAAGTGGATTCTGTGGCCATTTTCGCTGCTGAATACTAATCTAATTATTATTATTATTTATTTTTTTTGTTTCAGATTACATCTGATATTGGTATCAAGCGATTTTTCAAAATGGCCACCAAATTCCCCACCAAATCACAGATTTCTGATGTAAATCTTTAAATATCACTTCGAATATGGCTTGTTATATATCTAGCCATATTATTTTATGATCAATAAGAGCAAAATGAATAAATCACTTTTTTGGGTCATTTCATTTTGGGTAAAAGAGGAATTGTTTGGTCATTTTGAGGTAAAACATCGCCCCTAAATCACCATTTTTGTGTACAAAAATACCAATGTTTATGCAACAGTGACTTTTAAATTGGGGAAAACAATAATACAACAAATATGGTCAATATTATTCAAGGTTTACATGAAACTGTGCAGTCTTGCCATATAGACTAGTCATACTGTTAGTTACATACAGGAATATTTTCAGTAGTACACTCAGAAACAGAGCATTAAGGACATTGTTACCTTTTACAATTATGTGCATAACATATATATAACAGATAGACACCTGGTCATTACAATCTGTGACACTTGGTCATTACAACCTGGTCATTACAATCTGCGATCTCACGTCCCAAATTATAGATTTTCATTAAAAAAGGAATTGTTTTGCTTTATCAACGATAAAATCAAAACTAAGACTTTTAAGAAAAATCGCTGGCAAGGTTTTGGAGAACTTAATGGTGTCATTAAATCGCCTAAAATCAGTGATTATGGGCGTTCAGGTAAAACAGTTTTTACCTCCACATCGCAATTATGACGTCACCCGTAAGATGGCATTTGTAAATGTTTTAACAATAAACAATAAATAAATCTTCAGTGTTCAGTGATAATATTAATTAAAATTAATATAATCACTAAACACTGAAGATTTATTTATTGCCCAAAATAATGTATGTAAGGCAGTAAATAAGGAGTTTTGGGCGAAGAGTGACAATATATCCTATATACATGTTTTCATTTATTCCCTAGTCACACTAGAGGCGGAATGAGTTGCAATGTCGTCGGAATGAAAATTCCTTGTACTAAAAATTCTTAGCACATTCCATATGTATGGGCTAATTCTTGCGTCCCGTCCGAATGTTTTGCTTTTGCTCAAAACTTTCGAAGTGCATTCCAAGTGGAGAAATAACGAATGGCATTCGAAGTGTATTCTAACTGCACTATGAGTCGCATTCTTAATACTCTTGCAGCATTCCTAATGTGTTCCAACTACATTCGAGCAGCATTTGAGAATGAATACACCCAAAATGCGCATGAATCATTCCAGGCAGGTTCGAAGCACATTCTGAGTATTCCAACGGTATTCTTACAAGAATTAAAGTCAATTTGAAATTTCCCACTGAATGTGGCGCACATTCTTCATTATGGCTCATTCTGCTTGATTACTGCTGATTCCGAATAAGTGTGACGGGGGCTTTACAGTGCCTTCTGGTCTCAGTGTATTTCGTAATGATGCTTTCATGGTGGTGGTGAGATACTCTTAAACTACGCAACTGAAACTAAGTCCTATTCTAATGTCAAGAGGTTAGAGGTTGTTAGAGGTTGATGCCACCTGACAAAGTTTTACCTGTTCTGAAGAAAAGTAAAAATTAGACTTGGTTCCCATACCTATATCTATCCATCTGGACCGGTCTAACTCCCTGGTGAGTCTCACTAAATTGCTATCAACTAAACCGTCTTAAATGCCTGTCACGCCTACCCCTAAAGTTAATTGCAATTAACCAAGAACCTCCTTGGAGATAGTTCGATCCAAAGTTAGTACGGTAGCCTCTGGGAACGGTCTCTTATACAGCCAAATTGAAAAAAATAATAAAGAACATTCACCTCGAAGACTCACTTCAGAGACAAATTGGGGCTTTAATAAATTGCTGTAAGGATAACTGTGTTTTATGATTTTCTTTCGCATTTGTTTGACTTTTATGCATGTACCGGTGGATCTACTAAAATTAAAAAAAAAAAAACACAGCAAGGCTGGTTACTGTAAAGTAATTATCCCAGGAAGTGCCTCCAGTTTGTATACACTAAAAGTATTCCTTCAAATTGTAATGGCAAATTAGCCTCGAAATTATGCATTACATAAATGCGAAGATATGCTTTGCTGCTGCGTTTAAACGAAATGGAAAATTCGGAATCACGTTTTAGCAAGCTATAGAAATAGCTGTATATTTTAATCTTGCAAATCGATTAATTTTTGGTTGCTTTCGAAAATTTATATCTTTGAACTTGCTTGAAAACATTTTTTCAACAATATAAACTGTAAACAAGTGCACAGCCGTTGAGCATGTATCCTAGACATTGAAAATTATTTCATAAACAACCTAAACACAATCACATTCATCTCTTATTAATTTTTTGATTATATTTTATCCTTTCATTTGAGACTTCATTTCAATAATAATCTGCTTAGAAAACAAGGAAATATTGTGTGCGGGCCTACCTCGTACATCAAATTAATCATGAAATGATTATACAATAAACTAGACTTAGACCCCATTTCCATAGATTTTAGATCGATCTATCCCTGTGGGGAGTCTCACTAGATTACTGTCAGCTTAGCCGGCTAAAGCGTCCGTCCCGCCTACTGAAAGCTGTAAGGGGGTAATTAACTATGGTTCGTGCTCGGCCGACTGCAATTTAGCGTGAACCCCTAGGGAGTTAGGTCGATCTAAATCTTAATCTCTGGATCGATCTAAATCTCTCGGAATATACCCTAAAATGTGAAGAAGAGATGTTCCATATCCCCAGGTCAATGTTATGCACATTGCAAAGCGCCCTCTTTCTGATCGCGACCTAAATAAAAACTGCATACCTACTTACCGGGCGCACCTGTTTTTATAAATCCGTGTATAAAACTGCATGACCCATTTGCTGAACGTGAGACCAAGATTACAGGGGCCACATCAGTAGACTTACACTGCGTTTTTAACGGCTCATAAGGATAGTCCAGTACATCGAATTAGGATTTAAGGGTCTAGCAATCACACCAATACACCTAGAAGCTACCGTACTTTTGGATAAAATAAAAGAACTGCAGGTTTCGCTATCAACAACATGGCTGTCCAATTTAAGGCCATGTTGGCTTGTTTGTTTACGTTGCTGGCAACACACACAGGTACGTATAGTAAAATGGGTTGTATATACAGTATAGGCCTACGCAGTAGGTCCATCTATTTCAGCGATAATTGTGAAGTGCCCAATTTTACACTGGTAGGCCTATATATACGGAGATCACAAACATTAATGTTTAAAAAACTAACATCTCTACAAATGTGTTTTGATACTGGGCCATTCCTTGGTATTTCTTTGCTGTTATGGAAGGACATTTGACACTTCAAATGAAAATATTTTCAAAAGTAAAAAAGTTACAAGGTCCATTTTTTGTATGTTTTTTCTTCTATATGTAAGTTATAATAAGGTAGAAAATTAGGTTTAAAAAAATTATGGTTACGAAAAAATTAAAATAAATATTTAGCGTCTCGGAAGGACGTGAAGTGGACATGGAATTTTATCTTTCAACTTCAACACTAAAATTCTGCTCTGTCTGTGTAGATATTTTTAAAGTCAAATCAAAATATCAATATTTGACTATTTCACTTTCTCAGTGTATAAAATTTTTTTGGGAAAATAAATAACAAATTTGAAAATTTTGCATATAAAAAAATCAAGTAGGCGTCATGGAAGGACACGCTTGGAAGGACGTTTTGTCCATTGCTAAATAAAATGTAAAATAAGGCTAATAACAATATTTTATGAATACATACCAGCATAAGTTTGATGAATAATATCAAAGGTAAACATGCCCTTCTATGGTAATATATTTCATCTCCAAACATCTTACTAATTTTGACAATAATATAAGTTCTCATCTGCTCTGATCATCTTTAAATAATATTGGGACATTTTTAGAGAAAATCTTACCAAATCTATTAATTATAAATATAATCAATTGACTAAATTACAATAACTTCAAAATTATTCATTCAAATGAAATGTTTCTCAGTTTAAAAATGCTTCTATATATAAAAATTGTGAATTTTAAGTTCAAGATTATCTTGGAAGACATAAGGGTTTAGGGCTCATTGGTCACATGACCTGTCATGGTCCAATCAAAATGCCTCAAACGTGCTTCCACTGTGCTAGGTGTCATGTTTAATGTTAATATATTTGGATTTAATTTCTTATTGAAATGGTTCTAAGCAGAAATGTTTTCATATTTTGTTGGCCCCTATCATGGTTGAGGAGAATATGAAGTTTTTAGCATTTGTAGTTACTGAGAAAACGTAAGAAATAGGTACCAAAATCGTCACGGAAGGACAAAGTGAGATTAATTAATCCATTATTTTTTAATCAAATTTTTTTAATCTAATGCACTTGACATAATGCAAGAAATAAGTTATAATTAATGTATTTAGCCTTTATTGTTTAAAATGATCTCTATTATGAAAAATATATCAAAAATAAAAATGTCCTTCCGTGACACTATTTTATAAGTTTTCCAGATAAAAGTGTCAATAAAATCAAAATTAATCATCAAAACCTAAAATTTCTTTTGGATTCTGGTGTCTTATGGTGTCTGGTTTCAGAAATTATAAGTTTTATAAGTAGGATTCCTTTTTCAAATTTTGAGGTCTGCGGACCAAATACCACGGAACGGCCCTACTACAGATGGTACAGTCGATCTACTTAACCGACAGCTATCGATCCCATGGTTGAGTGTTTAAAAGCCGGTGTGACGGGAATTGTAGTCCGTTGCCCATTACTATGTACAGGTGACATTCGGCCCACATACTAACCCCAATACTCCGACTAACCCTGGAACTTCCATTTCTGGGACGACCATTCCTGTCGCACCTGTCGAAAACGCATCTCGCCACCCCACACTTTAACTGTTATCAAATGTGTATTCACTGTTATGCTAATATATACATCTACCCTGACCATACTGAAAGTTGGAAACTGATCAGGCAAGCAACCCCCGAGTTGAGTGTAGTGGTGTACGCCTATAGGCCTAAAACATTCCCCTGGGGTTGGAAGGAAAGGACACAAATGGGAGGGGAAGGGGTCTCTTCTATATGTATGTTAAATTCCAGATCTCCAGTATGAAATTACATATTGCTACTATAATGAACTTGATAGCATTAAGAATTAAATAGTAGGGGCCTATACTGGATTGTGCAAGAATTGTGCACACGGGACGAAGAGCACTGATGATGATGAATGTGTTGAAGGCGACTCATATTTCATCAATTGAGTAGGCCTACTGGAGTTGGTCATGTCTGCGTTCACCTGTACATCTGTTTGTAATATGAATAGGTTAAGGCAACAACAAATATAATCTACAGTGGGTCTGTGATTACAGATGTAAATCCTCCCTTAGCGTCTTTTACAGACCCAAATGGTTAAAGAAGTCTATACGAACCAGGAAGTGTAAACGGTTTAGAAGGGCAAAAGATCTCACTACAGGCGTAGGGGGCCTACCTTCTCAGGCCATCAGATGTCCAATTAGGCTAGCGAGTTTTATCATCTGAAAAACGAACTCCCTGGGTCTACACTGTCTTCTAGTAATTTATTTTATTTTATTTATTTATTTAAATATTTAATTATTTATTTATTTATTTATTTATTTGTTTCTTTATTTTGTGGCGGTTCATGATGATTTTCGACTTCGAGACCTATTAATACATCTGTCGTGTTAGATAATTTCGCCACGTGTGAAGGAAAGTATTGTGCTACAAGTGCGTTGCAATGTGTGTGTGGGGGGTGGGGGGGTGGGGGGGGTGGAACCTGCCGCATCTCTGGGTAAATTTTGATCTAGGTACACAAAAGTTTTATGAGAAAAGGTCCACTGTTTCAAATAAAGACCCCCTCCCTTTGAAATTGCTAGCCACGGGCCTGTGCTTTTTAGGACTTGGCCACTTTGGGACCGAAAGTTTGTTCGGGTTAGTATAGATTCGAGTAGATTCGTGTAGGTTTCAGCTTACACCGACTTAAAAAATCTACGCCACAAGATTTGAGTTATAAGCTGAGGAGTTACGTGTAGGGCCTATAATAAGTCTACTTGTAGGCGAATATACCACAGTAGATGGAAATTTTATCTGTGACCTAAGGGTTTAATCTTGTACTAGCGGTAGCTTCAATCGGGCACAAAGATGGATTGAATTTTTCATTAACTTAGTAAGCCATTGAATACTAGAACTATTGTATCTTAAAAGTATATGAACAGGTATGTTTGCTTAGCCTCAATAAGGTTGCTTATAGCCCTACGTTTTTAGAACTCGTATGTGGGGTCGCTGGCAAACAACCGACTCCAACGGGATAGCAGTTCTGTACAAATTGAGAACGATTTGAGCTGTAAAGATTTACTGGTTTTATGAAGCAAGTAAACGTCAAGGGTATTGAAGTGAGTTCCATATGAGGCTGCTTCCTAGCTTGGTGTCAATACTTTTACTAAAAACTCGTTAAAAAACATTATCTTGCACATATATTATTAAGAGTCGATAAAATAATGATTTAGTGTATATGATGTATGTGATGATGTTTCCTTGATTAAATATAAAACGTGGTACTGGTACATGTAAACGTTTTAAAAGAGTATAACTTTGGGAGTAATAATTTGATCAGGTTATTTTTTAGCTTATTGCTTATTTTAGCCCATCTTTTAAAAATTTCCAGTGAGCGGGAGCGAATATTGCTGCCCATATTACACGTCATCTGGCAGTTACAGAAGTTCGTTGTACTGTTCCTATTACTGCTGCGGGACATCTACCAATAAATACTGCTGTTCCTCGTCCTATGACAGATACTACCCGAGTTATTCCTATAGTTGGTTATGCCCCGCCGCCACCAGGCCAACCACAACAACAGGTTTGTATGTAATTAGAGTGGATTAAATTTTTCACTCTGTCAGTATACAATTAATATACTGGTACATGTTAGCTACCTTCGACATTAATTGAAAACGGTGTGGTAGGACCATCTGAGTTCTGATCTTCATTTTTTCAATGAGCTTTCACCTTTGTATTTCAAGTCCGTACAGTAGGTTCAGGAGAATATTGTTGCGCATAACAAATTTTTAAAAAAAAAAAAAAAAAAAAAAAAAAAAAAAAACAGGGACTAACTTTGAATGTAAAAATGGATTCATTAACCATTGGTAAGTATGGGAAAATTGTTGTTTACACCAGGAAAATTCATTTTTTGGCCAAAACGAAGAGTTACAGTATTATCCCTTTAAGCAGATATTATAGGCGTTAAACCTATAGCTGGTTATGCCCGCTCGCCACTCCACCCACCCCCACAATAGGTGGGTTTGTACATGTAATAATAATATTTATAATCGATGTAATTTTTCATTTGGTCAGTGTATATACTGGTACATGTTATCTACTATCAACGTTCTCACGGCACCCTTTGTTAAGAGACGACCATTTAAGTTCTGACCTTGATCTTTCCATGACCTTTTTATTTACAGTGAGTTCAGGAGAATATTGCTGCGCATATTACACGTCATCAGGCAGTTACAGAAGCTCGTTCTCCTGCCCCCAGTACTGCTGCGGGACATCTACCAGTAAATACTGCTGTTCCTCGTACTCAAGCAGATATTATAGGAGTTATTCCAGTAGCTGGTTATGCCAGCTCGACCCTCCACCCACCAGCGCAACAGGTTAGTTTGTAATAATATTCGATTTAATTTTTTAATTTGGTCAGTGTATATACTGGTACATGTTACCTACTACTAGGAAATGATTGTTGACTTCAGAAAGAATAGAAATGTGAAAGAACCCATTCATATCAGTGGCACTGCAGTAAAGCAAGTAGCCAATTTTAGACTACTGGGGGTAGAATTCAATAGCTCACTTACATGGAAGGACCACATAGACAAACAGTTAAAAAAAGCGAGGCAAAGGGTATATTTTTTTAAGAAAGTTGAAGAATTTTTCTTCAAATGAAATGATTTTAGCAAACTTTAACAAATGCGTTATAGAAAGTATATTAACATTTGCAATCATAGTATGGTATGGGCGGGCCACTGTAGAAGAACGCAAGCGTCTAGATATGGTCACATCAACGTGCGGCAAAATCATCGGTCTGAAACTCCCCTCTCTAGGTGCCATCTATACTAACAGATCAGTAACAAAAACAGAGAAAATCATGTCTGACTATACCCACCCCGCACATGGGCTTTTTAAATTTTTACCGAGCAACTGCAGGCTTTTAACTTTTAAGGGATCTAAAAGGTTTTTAAAGAGTTTTTACCCATCTGCTGTGTCTTATTTTAACAATAAAAATGGAAATTTATAATTTATTTATTTATAATTTGTAACCCGAATAACAGTCCAATTTCCGTTTTATATGAATTTTATATTTATTTATTTATTAATGGCTGAATAAACTCTTATCTTATCTTATCGTATCGACGTTAATGAGACACGGTGTGGATCAAACCATTAAAGTTCTGACCTTGACCTTTCCATGGCCTTTGTATTTACAGTTAATTCAGGAGAATATTGCTGCGCATATTACAACTCATCTGGCAGTTACAGGAGCTCGTTCTACTGTTCCAAGTATTGCTGCGGGACATCTACCAGTAAATACTGCTGTTCCTCCTCCTATAGCAGATATTATGGGAGTTATTCCTCTCTTTTATCGTGCCCCACCCCCTCAAGCAGCAGTACTACATCAGGCATCATAAATGTGTACGTACATGTACACATTTTTTCTTCCAAATAGTCTAGAGATTCTCTCTCTCTCTCTCTCTCTCTCTCTCTCTCTCTCTCGTACATATTTTTTCGTCCAAATAGTCTAGAAATTCTCTCTCTCTCTCTCTCTCTCTTTTTCTGTGCGTGTGTGTGTGTGTGTCTTTGTGCGCGTGCCATCATGTTAACTTTCTATTTCACTTGATAGGCTTTCAACATATAATAATGCTATCAAAAGCAATGTAATTCTAGGGTCATTGCATTTTGTTCGTTTTGCGTAATGTTGAAACCGAGCACCTTATAACATATCCGGCTGATTCAGACTGATAATTTTTTTCTAGTACCGGTGCTATAGTAGGCTCTGTAGTCGGTTTCATCGCCCTGTGCGTCATCATAGGAGTCGTCATTGGTTGCACAACCGGATGCTGTGGGCAAAGGAGAGGAACAGGTAAGACAGAATGAAACACATTCACACGTGTTTTTTTTTTTTTTTTTTTTTTTTTTTTTTTTTTTTTTTGGGGGGGNATATTCTTAAAGTACATGATGGAGGATGACGAGACGTACAGGGTTGCTAAACGTGGTTAACTTGTGGTCCTAGAAAAAGAGGTCGAGCTTTAGAAACGCCACTGGGCTGCAAAATTTAACAAACCAGGCTACTGCATCTGGAATGCTGAAATAAAACGCTGTTTTCCTTTTTTGTTAAAGTGTATGTTATGCGCTGTAAAGATCAACAAAAAGAAAATAGTTGTAATCGAGACATAATTGCATCTTGAACTACAACATGTACAATGTACCGGTAGTATTTATGGCCGTATTAATTCTTGAGCTCCAATGTGTTTCCTGCAAATTATGTATATTCATTATAACCTAAAGTACTGTCATAAAACGGATGTCAATTACTGTTCACTACAGTGGATGCTATAAATTTCTTTTCAGTGACCAGACCCCCGGGTAACGGCATAGTAATGTTGAACACGCCCCCGACAACGCAAGGTTACCCAGTCGGGTACGCCCCACCACCACCAAATACAGCGTATGGACCAGGGATACCTCAGCCGAATGCGGCTTATGGCCCAGGAACACAGCCACCGTATACAGGGTATGGGCCAGGAATTCCCCCTCAACAGCCGCCAAACACAGAGTTTGGGCCAGGAATTCCACCTCCCAATAACCCATTTGGACCAGGATCGCCACCCGATGGAGAATCAACACCACTGGATGCCGCGAAAGGAGCCGGTAATGATGCACCCCCTCCCCCATACCCAGACAATACTTACACCTCACTCCAACCTTAATTCATCTGGCGCAGATAGACTTAAATGGCCACAGTGTGCCGGTGTGGCAGGGGTGGCAGTCCTAGCAATGGAAACCTGGGGTCCCATATGATTAGTACAGGTCAGGGTTAGGCGAGGTATTGGGGTTTATTATATGGGACCAATGTCACCTGTACAAAGTAATGGGGAACGGACTGTTTCTAGCGGACTACCATTCTTGTCACATCAGTTCTCATTTATCGCTGTGATGCATTCAGTCTCACCTTCGTGCCCTTTATGACCAGATCTCTACTTTGCTGAAGGAGGCCCTAGCCAGGGGGGTTCAGGGGGTTCAAAAGATCAAAAATTTGATCTAGGTACATGAAGTTTTTATGGAAAAAGGTCCACTTTTCAGAAAAAGAACCCCCCTTTTGAAATTGCTGACTACGGGCCCGTGAAGCAAGTTTCCTTTAATTGGTGTTTTAAGTCAAATGAATGTAAAGTGATTTATATCTAACTCTGAATGTGTATCCGGTGTTAGTTTCTTAAACAGTGCCTGGTGATTGCAGCTTTTGTATATATAGAAGCGATTGTCGTTAAATGCTTATGTATTCAAGAAAGTGATTAGACCTTATGTGTTTATAAATCGTTCCCCATATCTTTTACTGAGTATTAGTCCAATCATTAAATTAACTGGAGCTTGAATTCTTCGTGCAAATGTAAATTCAGCAAATATATTGATGACCAAAATGTGATTGGACACCACCAAATGTGATTTTATATATCAGACTGCTTGTTATATTTTTTTGTTTGAGTGATTATTTCGTGTCTGTTGTTAAGCTTAAGATACGAAGTTAAGTTTTGATGGCCTTGTCTTACAGAAAGTTTTTTAAAGTAAATATTTAGATGTAAATTAATCTGTCCATGTCGAATAACGAGTATTAAGGTAGGACTTTAAAATATGGAGAAAGACTGCTGTGAACTTTTTGAACTTTTAATCAAATGATTTTAAGGTTTTCCTTTTTATATAATGTATAAGTTACCGAATTATGAATGTTTTTTCATCATTTAAGTGACGTGGGTCCCACTTACAAAAATAACGTGTTTTATTTAACTTTTAATTCTATGCCTTGCTTTATATTCAAGCCATATATTTTTATAACGATATATATGTTTCTTTATTTATTTTTAAACCAAATCTATGCCTGGCAAAGTAGCCTTTTTTCGTTTGTTCAAGATATAAAATATTTTGAAAATATTTGAAATGTTAATCTTTATCTATGTTCTGCGAACGCTAAAAGAGAATATCTACAACTTAAACAAGAAACGTACGGTAATCATAAATAGTGCAAGCAACTTACTTTGAATGCTTAACTGTTACGAATAGTTGTAAAATTGTTATACAGGTAATGAAAAGTGAAAATTTCAAGTTACATGAAACATCGGATAATTAAAGCGAGATAAAAAAAATGGTGATTATACAGTATTCTATGACATGTTTTGGGTCAGGGTTTTCAGTGCATAACAGCCATATTTTATTACTCTAGAATTGTCATATATACACAAGAAACAATAAATTTTATTTAGTATTTTAGGTACGTGGCACGCAGTGTGACATGACGCAGAATGACTTAGAAAAAGGGAGAAATAAACTTAAAAGAAACATGATTATCATGGGTATATAAATATGATCAAATTACATTGAATCCATAGTAATTAGGAATAGTACGTGGTGAGTGGTGTGACATATCAGAATGGGTAACAATAGGGCGAAAACTGTGATATTGATACAAAGATGTGATGGTCGCCACTGCCGTCTTGACACGAATGGAAGTCCTAGGAATGGAAGTCCGGAGTCCCATATGATGAGTACAGATTAGAGTTAGTCTGAATATTGGGGTTAGTATATATAACGAACGTCACCTGTTCAGAGTAATGGTGGACAGACTACGGCTCCTAGCGGACTACCATTCCTGTCAGACCGATGTATCGTCCTTATACATACTAAAATACTGTATATACACAAGCGTGTAACTGGTTTTTGGATTAAACGGAGAACTCATACATGTATGACTTGTACTTGGAGTCATAGTGTTTTCTGGAAACTTATAGTCCATGGGCCAAATACCGAAACCCTCCCCCCCCCCTTAGTGATTTTCGTTCACTATGTTTTTCTGATAGCTAAGGTCCTTAGCTTTTATTGTCTGCTTGGGTGTGTGTGTGCTACAGCCGTTGCCATGGTAACGTCTCAGATTAAACATTGAAATTTCTGAGACCAAAAAAATATTAAATAATTCAAATGTATTAAGTAAATGGAATTCAAAATCATTTCAGTTGTATAGTTTAAGAGTTGCACTATACACGTACACTTAATGCAGCTACTGCAGCTTAGCAATATTGAATTACGGATTTGGTTTGTTCATTATTATCCTTTATGCCTTGTACTTCTTTTTTGGTTGATAATGGAAGACTCCAAGTGTCGTGTTTTTGTCTGGTTGTTCTGTCTTATTCATACTAGTGTAGCGTAAATCAATGGGAAATTAGAATGAAGTGGAAGTGACATGCAATGGCCTTGTTTTAAAAAGGCACATCATATAAAAAGCCTCAACGTTAAAAACATTGAGTTAAAGTTTTTTTTATAAGCTCTGTAAGCTTTTCACACACATTTTTATTCATGATTTAAGTCTTGCCCTTTGATTTAAGAATTCGTCTGTATAGATAAATTGACATCATTTCACACTATACATAAACTTGAAGAGATGTCATGGCTGAAGAGACGATTCATAACTTTAACAAAATAAATGCCCGAAAAGAAAAGAAACACATTAAGTAGCTTGGAATATGAAATTATAATTTGTGTTTAACCTTCACGTCTCAGTCATCAGCACATTTGCTGAATATAAATTTACATCTGTTAGTACAAATTCTCTCTCGTAAGTTTAAAAACAGGTTTAACGAATAGCAGTAAAAGAGTATTTAAGCGATGTAAGACTAATCAAAAACTTATCGCAAATGCCCCCTCCCCCCCCAAATTGGCGCTATAGCGTCATCCGTTGGACACTGCAATTAATCTCTGTCTTTAATTGGCCTTTTGGGAAGTATGTTTTAATTTATTATAAAAACTTATAAGCCCAGGGCATTGTTTTTATGTCTTTGGTCGTTTTACTATTAGTGGCCGTAACAATAAAGAATAATTGGAAGACCGGGTGAGGTATTAAGCCGATTTATGTAAACTTATATTTTTCTGTTTATTGTCTTTTTGAATAGGGTTTTGTGATTGATTATTATCATAGGAGAGAATTGTACGAAAAATACGCTTTTTAAAATAACTCAGGTGAGCGAAAACACCCACGTAAAATTATTATGACAAGATATTGTGTTCAACTTTGCCGAATGAAATTTTATCCACAAAGAATTCATGTCGTCAGCAGTTTCTACTTTTCCTTGAACCAAATAAGTTTTTAAGATACAATTTTGATTTTATAATTATTAATAGCAATTCTTCATAATCTTTACACGTACGTGGCAGAAATACTGGCCTTTTTGTGTGTATAAGAAGCTCCGTCGACACAATTTACATGTTTTCATTCGCCAGGAGTGATACATTATGGCACATTCTACAATCAAAACTTATTTTCTGATCTGCAAGATGTCCTTATGTGGAAACAACAAATTAGAATTTCCTCCAGAGGGTAGCTGAAAATAAAAGCATATCCCCACCCTCACCTGTGTTTGTGTTTGGTAAAATCAAGGATGATATCGCAGAATTTGGAGAAGGGCGGAATTATAAATAAAAGATAAAGGCTGACAGATTTGCTATTAAAACTGGTGTGCATTAAACCAATGTTGCCTTAAATCATATTATCTTCACCATAGTACTAATTTATAAAAAAAACGGTCAATTATCACTTAAACTGTGTTAAAAACAATGTGTTATTGGCCAAAAAACGATGGCGTTATGGTGAGAGGTTTAACATCATACTATCATAAAGCCAGTGTTGGACAAGTAATAACAGCTTTATACAGTTTACAGGCACAGCTTACAGCTGAATGATAAAAATGATTTTAAAAAATGGCATAAATTAAGTAAGATTGTTGGTTATGATTGTCAGTCACCAGTCATGTGTTGATTTGAGAACAGCATCTGACGGACGAGTACTATCAGGCCTACCCAACTACCAGACTCGGCACCAAAGGATCCTGAATTAACCGGTATATCGGACCACACTACCCGTTTTCAAGGTGTGTGTCAGATCGTATTTCGGAGTATCATACCCAGAACAAATTTTGTAGGACGACTGCGAGCTCATCCACGCTCGACTGAACAACCTGAAACAGTACTCTTACTTTAGAGTACTCTATTTCATTGTCTCTATGGGGGTATATGGGGACTTTACGACATTCGGTTTGAATGTTTTAACCATTTTTGATAGGGCTATTTTGCATTGTATTAGATTAATGTGGCAGTCTAAGGTTAATCTAGGTGGCTTTCAAATTTATGCACCCGGTTTTAAAATCATATAGCGATTAAATACGACAAGCATTTACTNTTTCTCTCATCTTGATGTGGGTGACAAAACATGTTCTGTGCAAACAACCCCCTGTTGCAGTAGTTCACCTGCAGTCCCACCAACACTAGAATAAATATCTTCTTCTTTAACAGTTCTTACTTTTTTCACTTTCAATAGAGGGGGGCTTTGTAAATTACAAATTGGTTTGTATGCAGAGCCCTTAAAATATTTACTTTTGCCCTTCGTTTCCATTCAAGGGATATCAGGTGGGGGAATTAATGGAGTACCAAATCTCCAAGTCAACAATAAATCAGCTAAAGCTTTGTTCAGCAAGGGACCACATGACCCATTACCTTCACTTGGGTAAATTGAAATAGTAGCCAAGACAGCAGTTAGGCAAATTCAGTGAAACTGAAGGGATGCTACATTATGTTTCTGGTAAGAGTTTTTCAAATTTTTTCTAAGTTGAAGCTGTGTATGTTCTTGTTTATTGTTAGAGAAGGCAGAGAAAAAGGTACTGGTTTATTTGCCTAAATGCTGCCTACTCTTGTGATAAGTTAGGCATATCCAAAAGACTCAAGAAAAGAAAAAATCACATGTATGATAAAATGAGGTAAAACTTATGGAATCTTGTAACGGGGAGAAAAATTGTTGTGTGGTTGATAGGAAATATTTGGGTGTTTGAAATTTACAAATCTACACTAAATAGGTCAGTGTAACTTTTTTTCTCAATTTGCTAAGATTTATCAGGCATTAAATCAATGTTAAGATCTTTCACTAGATTGAGATTCAATCTAGATAGACTTTTCAGTTTCTCAAAGCATTTATTCTTACTTGTGGACCATCTCCTGAGCCATATTACAGAAACAGCTAAAAATGTAATTAATTTACTCAAAAGACATCTGTATTCTGTTAACAGGGAAAAAAGAATGTATCAGTTTCACACAAAAACACACTGAAGTAATGGGTAAACATTCTTTTTTATGAAGAGCAGGGCCGTAGCCTGAGCAAAATGCCAGGGGGGGCAGTAGTGGACACGAGGGGTCGAAGCCCCCGAGGGGGGAGGTTGTGTCCCCCTCCCACGGTGTGGAAAATTTTTAAAAACTGTATGTATAATACTGCATTCTGGTGCATTTTAACTGTTTAATTGCTCAATCAGAAGTCAGAAATTGTGGGTTCATTTTGCCATAAGTATAGCTCCCCTAAGGATAGCTCCCTAAGGGAGGGTGAGCTTTTTGGCATGAACTGAGTTGGCTAAAAACAGTACACCTTTGTTAACAGATTGTTGAATGATTGTCTAGTGGCCATGAGTGCATTTTCTCACAGAATTGATACCAACTTTGCAATTATTTTTTTTTCACCTTTGCGATTATTATTTATTTATTTATTATTATTATTTTTTTTTTTTGCACCTCAAATCCCAGGGGGGGCAGCTGCCCCCCCTGCCCCCCCCCGGAGGCTACGGCCCTGAAGAGAGAACTGGGAAATTGAACTTTGACTACTGAATTTTTTTTTCTTCGAGATTGGCAGTGGTTTATTACTATTAGTACTGTACCTTACTATGCTAATTTTTAAAAAAATTCTTAAATCTGGATTTAACCATGCTGACTAACCATGGATTCTTGTAAAGATTTATTTAAACATTAAATTCATGAGGCATATGAAAATGCCAAAAGGAAAAATTCAGTTACTCCTGTGTCACCTTTAAGTTTGAAGTCCACTTCACTTGACCTATTTTTTATCATTATTTAAAGGGAACAGTGCTCAGGATTATGAAATAAAAAATAAATTAAAAGTTTAGTGCATTCCGTGTCTTAACATATAAAAAAATATAAAATCCCAAGACTCATCTACCAACCTGATGTGCTTTTGGTTTGGGAGTTCAATTCCCTTGAATTAAGGTACATGACTAAAAGCTTTCTGTGAAGAATTCAAATTTTAATTAGATTAATCAGTTTAATGCTCTACATAAAGCAATCAACTTACTTGCTCTCACTTCTTCTTCAGATGTACCCAGTACTCTGTCAGCATAGAACTGACTATCATCATCATCATCAGATGAGAACTCTTCCATCTCCTGCATCTGAAGAGCCTCCATTATTATGCTGTGGTTCCTGGATATGTATGCTGTAGTAAGAAGAAACTATTACATGTAGCAACATGGACAATTATATCTGTAAAAATATGTTAAGGTAGTCAATATTATTAAATTTTATAAAAAAATCAAAATTATATTCATTTGAGTGACTAAGAATATTCTTAGCCTTAATGGGATAAAAAAATAATCAATTCAAATATTTAACAAATACCCCACTGTTCTTTTGAGCTAAAAATACACAAAATGGTCATCAGAAGTAATGTTCCTTAACTTTTTAGGTAAAGAATAGTTTTTCATAAATTCTTTAACTTTTAAGTAACTCTCTCTTTTGTCAATGAAGGTCTTCAAATTCAGTTTAAATCTGTCACTACGACTAGTAATTCAGAAATTATAATTATTTTCGAAATTAGGATGGGGTGTTAATATATATTTTTCTTCATCTATTTCAAAATTTTGTCACAAAACTTATCTTTCAAAAATGTTTAATGATAAGGTATTACAGGTAATACAACAATACTAACAAGTTTCTTCAATACAGATATATGTATATCAAACAATCAGATATTTATACCAATGCCACCATGTGTCCTGCCAAAATATGTAAGATATGCATATAGGGGTGCATCTCAAATGTGTATTCAGTTCAAAACTGCCAAACAAAATGAATCTATATTCCATTCTTATTTCAAAAGTATCACCAAAGTTTATTTGAAGTTCAAAACAGAACCTTTAAAAATATGATGACTACCTGTAATTTTGATTACTACAGTATTTTTTCATGACCGTGTATTTGCACGATCGTTTATTTGGTGAGTGTAACATTAAAATCACTACCATGCAACCTCTCCTATAAGATTATTCCTAGTAAAGTAATCTATAAAATTACTACCATTTAAAATTGTGTAGGTAATAAAAAAACAAACTCAAAATTTGCTTTTTTTCATTCTTGTTAATCACCAAAGTCGTATTTTGGCATGAAGTATTTTATCAACCACACCTTTAAGAAAAGAAATGAAGCGAAGTCTCAAATTGTCAGTCCCAAAGAATAATTTTCACGTATCTTTTTGATTAATTTAGAATCTGAATTCGATTCAATGACAATGTGCCAACAATTATAACCGGTTGCAATTATAATCCTGCTGACTGCCTGTCCTCAGCTACTCATATACAACAACAGCATGACCTGATAAAAAACATACCTTAATGCTCCATGCAGTTTTATGAAAAAATTCTACTTAAAGATTTTTATAATAAAATTTGTTTGGTTTTTTACAACCCATGTGTTGGTCAACATGGCGACCGTAAACTTTGACAGGTGCTCAATGTGCTTTGATGCCTTGGGTAGTAAACTATATATAGAATGTTTTATCCATTCATTCAATTCATCTTGTATTTTTATTCATTCATAATAAAATAAAAATTAATTTGTTAAATGTAGAAATTGTAAATTTCTCATTTTAAGTCCACTAGTTGCAATAAGGAGTATTGTTATTTCAATCACTTGGGGAGTACAAGTCCCTAACACAACAGCTGAAAACTGGAATATTGCACATTCGATTAAACAAGATAACCAGTAATAATCCAAGATGCGCTAAATCATCATTGATCTTTCCTCAAAGCTGGTAAAATTGATTGGATGAAATCTCCTTTTAACTTTTAAGTAAAGATTCGATTGGCTTTTTAGTTTAAACGTTTTAATGAATCCGATTCATTTATATTTTTAGATGAAATTAAACCTTTTGCAATATTTGAACCTTGCAGATTTTGACATCTTTCTCTGTGACTAATTTGCAAATTTAGGGGTTTGCACTAAATCAGGCTCTATAAATCCCCTCCTTTAATTTCTGCTTTTAACAAAAAAAAAAAAAAAAAAAAAAAAAAAAAAAAAAAAAAAAATTAAATAGTTAATTCTGAATTATGATTATGAAAAAAGGCATGCAATAACGTGGAATGAATATTAATGTTCTAGCTGTTGATGCAACGGCGTACATTTAAAAAGATTGTAAGTCTTTTTAGTTCTTTCATAAAGTTTACATTTGCAGTGCAGTAATAAAAGTGCAGAAAACGCGTAGAATTTCAATTAGCGGGTGAAATATATGTGGGAAAAATCAATCAATCGGCTTGGTAGAGTGTATGATCACATATGCTGTGTACATTAACCCGATGTGTACTTTACTACCAGTTCTCGGTATGATGAAAGCTGGGGTAGAAATGATGCTCTTGCCACTGTCATATCAAATGAAACACAAAAAACTACAAGACATTTGGTTTAATCAGACATCTATTTTTTTGAAAACAAGGTCTGCCTCTTCCATCTGGGGCAAACAATAGATGGAAAACACGTTAAAAAAGCGCCATCCGCGCGAGAATATCTAACATAGCGTTACACTAATATATAAATATTAATAGTACATAAAATGTGAACTCTTTTTTACAACTTATGAAACAGTCAATGACATCATTGATTTCATAATCCTGTAGAATTAGAGCACAGAGATAATTTTATTAGGCACACAACTTCTGAAACCTGAATTTCAGAGCAGTCGCTCGTATTACCTCCCATCCTGCATCAGACCTCGGACGCATAATATATTTTGTTTGCCCAAGGTCAGACATAAGAGAGAAAGAGCAAGAGAGAAAGAGCTAGACAGTCTAGGTTTCTGTTTTTGGTGCACCTGCACTTCATATAATGCATACATTAGTTACATACATACATACATACAAGCATTGCGTTAGAAAAAGATATAAGGGTGGAAGACACAAAGGACACGGTAATGTGTCTATGTAAAGGAAAGGCATTAACCTTTTTTCATCTTTGGCACTGTAAATGGATTGCACAACTTGCGATCATTAAACTGTTATTCTTGTAAAGGCGCATACTACTCCAACCGCCTACTGTTATTTGCTAAATAATAGAACTTAGGCACGTCTGTAAAAAAAATCGAATAATGACAGGCAATGACATCACCACAAAGCTACTACATATAGGAGAGGTCCTTTAAAAAATGTGAGAAAAATTCTATCGAAATCCGCCCATTTTTATCTGTGGACAATTACAGCCATTTCATGAAACTATCAAAATTCTCATTAACTTCTCATTAACAAAAAATAATAATAAAGGCTGACGCATTAAGGTCACTTTCCTTTTCGTATTTTACAACTAGATTTTCTCGCTAGCATCATGTATTTGAATACCGCATTACTGTCATCCTTTCCTGAGCAATTTCAGAATACAATGGCGGAGGATCTCTAGGAAACCCCCTTTGATGCATGTCATTTTGAGCATTATCCCAGTTTTCATTGTATGCTCGGTTTTCATAACCGTACGTCGCTGCTGTCGTAGGTCGGTAAGCCCCTCTCCGCGTTGACGGGTAGTCCGACGGAGCTGAGGCAAACTCGTAGGGTGCATTGACGTACGGATGGTGTCCTACACATTCTGAATACGCTGGGAGGTTACAATTTGAGTACGGTGCTTCAGTTTCATTGACCGCCTGCTGAGTGCTTTCTAGCCACTGAATTATTTGGGCATCCCTCCCGGTAAATGTGGTGAAGACCGTCTGATGGGGTGCACTGAAATACATTGCTCGTTTAGTGATAACACGAGAATTTAAAGTAGGGGCCTATATTGGACATTTTACGAAACAGATTAGGTAGCAAAGGCAGATCATTGTCTTGCACAAATCGATATTGTCACCCGGGATCGTCACGTAAGCAAAAACTATAGATAAAGACTCTACTGGTCTCTGAACAGACTCTCTGTAATTTTTTGTTATTTTTGTAATGGAAATATCTCTTAATATAAAAATTAAGAACTTGAGCCTTGAAGTATGTATAGCCCTCAAGAAGTTTTTTTCCGTGTCACCGGCAAAAAAATTTCCTTGGTGCGTCTAGTGAACGCTACCGAATAAGGATATATCGAAAGAAAATTAAAACGTGAAAAGTGTTCAATTATACGAAAAAAACTTTTGAAAATGTTGTAAAACTACATGAATCCTTACTCTCTTCTCTGCCTATATCTTTTTCTGTGTTTCACCCAGCACGCTGCAAAGAAGAATACCACCACAATAAGGACAGCAGCGGCACTAGCACCAACCGCTACGATAAAGTTTGTCGCTTGCGAATTCCTGGAAGTGCTGGGAGGATGACTATCTTTTAAACCTGAAAAAAGGCAATAAATACAAAAGTTATTGCAAGTACTTCAGATTTAGTATATTTTTTAATATATTTCTTGGCTTTTTACTTCCATTGCCTCAAGATTTAGATTCAGATTTGATTGATAAATGTCACTCCCGAAACGTCGTTCTTTTCTGGTTTCACTACAATAATGCGTCTCGAAGGTTTTTCATTAAAGACAGCTATTGATTACTTAATTTTTATTTTCTGAAATACTAAATTAGATAGAAGGAATGGCCCATTTTAATGTACGATGATAGAATTTAGCATAGCGTATCATAATAAAAATAAAGTAAGTTTTGAGATGGATGATCATTACTTAACTGATATATGCCACTTAATAATAATTTAATCTGCATCCATCTTAAGTACAATAATCTGAGATCGTGCAACGAAATATGGTGAATGAGATTGAAAATTGAATGAACGAATGAGGAGGAATTAACATCGAGCATCAAGGGTATAGTATAAAAAGCATAATCAAAATTTCGTTTACATGGAATGCTTCGCACCAATAATATGTATGTCCTATATGTTTTCAACTTCATTGAAAGGAAGCGACAAAATGATTTATTCTTTCCGTGTAAGTACAATTTGTTTCATATATTCTGCATGAAAGCTGAAGTAGTATAGTACACGGAATATAGATCCACTAGTTGTCAATTACCGCACTTAATCTCGACGATTTACTAACGTCCACGCTATCCAGCAATGAAACGTCTTTAACGGAAGATGGCGTGAAATATTAATATTGAATCCAGTGTAATTGTGTCTGGTAAACGGTTTATCCTGGAGAGCAGCTAGCATGAATTAATATCATAGAGATAATGGAATTCATGTGCAGATGTTGCACTTATTGCAGGTGAACTTTTTTAATTGTGCTCTTGATTGCTTCTATTCTTTAAAAAAGTCAAAATACTGCATTTGGATATTTTTGTATTAGCTTTATGATTGTAATACTGTGCTTTATGATTTAAATACTGCTACTGTTTTAAAAAATTATGGGTTTGGATTGCATCCACCAAATTAATGCAACGAGGACGGGAGATAATAGAAGGGAGATAATAGGCTTTGGTAAATTGATCAATGCGGCTAATTTAATCAATATGCAAATGCCTAGGTCCATCAATGATGGTTTCGCCAAATGTCATCTTTGATATATATGAAAAGATAGTAAAAACCACAAACGTATAAAACTTTTATACACTTACTGTCGATGCATTTCGGAATATCATTATCCCATTTCCCCTGATTTGTACAGTACAACTGGCTTGGTCCCTGTAAGTGGAAATCCTGGTAGCAGCTGATATTGACTCTGGTTCCCGGTTCTGTGTTGTAGGTGCTCAGTTTGAGAGAAAACAATGAGTCTTTTGTGAGAATCACTGGTGGACCAGCTGCCAAAGCTGGACACGTTATGATTACTGCAATAAATAATGAGGGTCGAGTGAACATGCAATACAATCGGATTTTTTTTTTGTAATTTCAGCTTTAATTTTTAACTTTAATACATACGAAATGAAATTGGATACTGCTGTTGAGTGCACGTGTAAGGAACAAAACTGGTCCAATGCTACTGTGGAAGCGTATAGATCTAGATATACTATGCGTGAAAATTCTGAAATTTGGCAACAGTATACCGGTAAAATTCCATTTTTTAACACATATTGAGAATGCACTGACATAACACTTTAAAATATGCTTGGATCATCTCTATAATCTTTGTATTTCTATATAAAGAACAAACACGTATTGTTAAATAGCATGCATGACTGCCAGACTCTGTTTATTACAAAACAGTTATCCGTGACTGACTGCATTAAACTTGCTTACCCTCGCAAACGTTTTTATCATGAGTATATCGAAGCCATGAAGAGATTTTAACCAACTAAAATACAGTAAGACAAAAAGACAGTCTGCCTGCTTCACTGCAAATATTTGTATTTGCCTTCTCCATAATGTTTTGCCTGATAATCATTTTCTCTTTTAGATATAAAGGTTAAAGAATATGAACACGATGCTTACCACCCGACATCTCTCGGCTGCAGCAGCCTTTGCCTGTTACTCCAACAGTTACTATTACTTGTGGTCATAAAGCAGGCGGCAATTTGTCCTCCTCTATTTTCTGACCCGATATTGCATGTTTCATATTTTGTAATTAACGTCAGGATATGAATGATAGTCCTAGATCTGTTCACAATGCCTGCGTTGCACCTCACGTGTGTTTTTGAACAAAGAAGGAAGCGCTGTAAATTGTTTAGCTAGAGGACATGCAGTAATGACGTCATTAAGGAGAAATGTACAACCCATATTTCCCATAATGCACATTCCCCAGGGCTTCATGACCCAACTGACTCATTCGTCAATGCCTTAATGTGGCTTAGCTAGTGAAACAAAAGATCCTACGATGGTCATTAATATAAGTACAAGCTTTCTTTTTGTTGTGGCATTGACCAGCGGCGGCGCCGTACACTCGGCTGTTTCTTTGATCACGCTGTGCGGTTTACCGATAAAAGAAGCGATCATTTTACAATTATAAATAACAGATATTGTCATCATCCCTGCCCATTTTCTAATCAGCAAAAGTTAAATTCGTTATTGAAATCTTTAAAGAATAAGAACGCACTTTGTGCTCATTTAATTACCTTACCGTTAAACCCTTACTATAAAACAATATTCTTTATGAAGACAACAAAGCATGTGTAAAACGTTATAACAAAAATATTTTCCTCAAATGAAAAAAATGCCATGATATCAGAATTAATTCGAGATCAACATTAAATACACTAGGCAATTAACAGAGATCTATGTAATGAGGGAGACAGGTCAATATTCACGTGCATGTAGCAGTCTCAGAAGAAAGACAGCTGTAGGGTAATACGTTTGGCATCATTATTGTCGAGACATTCGCTGAGACTGTGGCGTACGCGTCGTTTGATGAAACTTGAATGTCGTAATTTTGTCGGAGGATCAAAAGAATATGCTGTAGATTCCATGTTCAGTTGGCTCCAGTGACACAATTACCGCAATGATAAACGCAAATACTTTCTATGAAAATATTCTGAACATCTTAAAAGCATGTTTCCATAAACGCTCTGCAAAAAATGTCTTCATATCATTTTTCATTACAAATTCTTCATTTTTTTTGCATTGCTTATTTTTGTGATTAAAATGTTTTCATTACTCTCTGTTGATACATGTAGGCCTACTTAGATAGGAGTTGCTGAAAACTTTGCAGGAACAAATTAGTGGAGTCAGCCTACACGTGCGCTGTCGAGCACGTCGGCTATTCACACATCGCAGCAATTCATTGATTAAACAATTATCTTGGTAATTTTCCAGTATTGTTTACTTTGAAAGTACGTCATTTCAGGCGTTTGAATCTTTTGTGAGAATCATCTGGTTTTCTAAATCCCGTGGTTATTTGTTCGCGTTTAGTATGCCCTCGAGAAAGAAGACCACAGCACCCATTTAACAAAATATTTTATTGTATTTTGTTGGCGAATCACCATGTATATATATTGAATTAGAATATGAATACTGTGCATATATTTAGATTCACAATTACAAAAACTAGTTTCCATTGCAAAATAAACGACATAAAAAGGGTATGTGAAAGGTTATGAAAATCGCGCCTAACTTATGAAAATATATGAGGTAGAGGGTGCAGTGACCAAGTGTACACTGACAGAGCATACTCGTACCCCGATATCTTTTTCATTAATATAAAAAATAAGCTAAATGAATTCTATATACAACAGTCAATCAAGTAATAAATTAGCCAACAAATTAATTCAGTTATTTGTTTGTTAACCTTTGTTAGTAAAGTTTTTTATTTTAAATATTTTTTTGCAATGACGAAGATTGAAGAATTGACAAGTGGGTGGAAGGCTCACGCAGCTTGTCTACTGTATGTATTTCTTTCAATCTGTTTTTTCCGTTCCCCTCAAATATCCCATCTATGCACAGGCTGTGCAGTTGACAAACTCATATAGTGCTCCAGTAGCCTGCATGCTGAAAGCTGTGACAATACCTCCGGCAAACATAGACGGGACAGCTAGGAAAGATAGCCATGCCAACAATGACATTCCGGAGAGACCATGGCCACTGGAATAATTGTGGAGAGCACAATAGTAAATAAAAAGTCAACAGTAAAATAGTAAAATAAGTGCGCACCCATCAAGTACTGAAAAGACATAGAGCATGCTAATAAAAAATGGCATGTGCTTAATAGGTAATTTCTTTATGGAATAATACGAGAAATCTAGTTGCAAGGAATACCTAAGATGTAAGAACGGAAATAAAATAGGACTCCTTTTGTTATTTGATTTGGTGATGTTTGAACTAAAAAAGAATACACTGAGTTTCAAAGCACGTCGTCCCACCTGGTGCAGCCAGCGGCAAAACGTGCTCCTATCAACATAAGAAATCCCCCAAAGAACGCTGTGACCACGCTCACTCCCTGGGTCGAGCCGTATGAACTGGAGGATAGAGCAGACAGAGCGCCACCAAGGATTGCACCAAACACATATACCACCTTATAGAAATGAAACGTGGTGAAATGAGATTAAGCGTTCAGTTAACGAAAGTAATGGAATAAATTCTCAATAAATATTTTAACATTAGAAAATAGCTCTCTTACATTGATTTTACAACATCCTATCAATATATAGGATGGCTAAACAAGTACAATGATTTCGGGCCTTATCCAAAATTTATATTTAAAAGTCCTTTATTGAATATTTTTGGTGTCGGAGTTTTGTGACATCGATTTTAGGAGCAGGCAATCAACCTGCATACCTGCCACCAGTTGCCAATCCCAGTCCTTGCTCTGGCTAAATATGGGAATTTCTCCTGCAGTTTTTCACTGACCACCCACTGCGACACCACTGTGACGTAAGCACTACTACCACCTAATGTGTCATCGACGACCAGCACGATGACGATCTGTAAAAGTCCTATCAGCGCACCTGTAGGTAAGGGAAATTTTTCAGGTTTTGTCTTAGAGACAAAGTATAATTCTTAAAATACATCAAAAATACATTCGGATTTTGATCATGTTTCTTTACATATTAAGAGTATAAAAGTGGAAAAAGTTTAACAATTTAAGAATGCCATTGGGTATGCTAATAATCGTATATAATTATGTAACATCGCACATAAATGTGTTCCATCCAACATTGATATTACAACATTGAATTTTGCAACGAATATCATGCTATAAGGCAATGTTTTCTCAGAATTTGTAGAACTTTTTACCACTTTCATTGCTACCAATTTATGTCAATAGAGTTAACGTGAAGTACCATTGCTTTTAAGATTAAAATAGTAAAATCTTCTTTGTCATCGGACAAAAATTGTAACAGAGTGGCAGACATTCGTTATTTTTATTACAACACTTAATCTTCCTCGGTGATGCAAAAATTCCCAATCTACCGCAACTAAATCTTAGTGACCTCTACCGCAATATTTCAAGAGTAGCATCTAACGCAATATACTCATGTTAAAGACACTGCTGTGATATCAAACATTTAACTGCTCATTTACCTGAAATATATGGCGGCCATGCTCTTACTGTAACTATATCAGCATCAGGATTATTCGGAATCTGTAAATATGAAAGAAAGAAAAGAATTCAAGAAGAAGGCAATTTCATTTTATATCATGCCAAGAACTGATGACGCAAAAGTAGGTATATGCACGCCCAAATGTCAATAATTTATTTCCAAAGGAATTTAGCGCATTACAAAATATTTGCTGCTTTAGTCAACTTATTCCACAATAATATAGCTGTATCTCAATAGAGGAGGGATCTATCTGACAAATCAACATGAGAAAGTGGTGATATTTCATAGTTAAAGACTCACACTTAATTCAAGAAGGGAGTTCCACGGTCTGAACCATTCGATGACGAAGACCACTACTCCCAAAGCTACCGCCATTGGGATGGCAAGTGCGGCAAATGGAATGTTGAATCTTTCATGAACACTGCAAACATAGCCTAACTTCGTTAGAATCCAATCAAAATTAAAAAACAAATAGGCCTATAAGGAATATCAAAATTAATGACTTTAAATTAAAATATTATAAATCAATAAATTACTATTGAACACTGCGTACTTGATTGAATACTGAAACATTCCGAGGACAGAAACATACTTCAAGTGGAGATTGTGAATCATCTTGATCCATTTTTACAGTTTTGATTTAAGTTTAAATGCAACATGATAGCCTTACGTTGGTTTTTGAAAAGGTTTTTTCGGCCGAGAGAAACGAATAATCCACGGAGCGAACAAGCCGTACAGTAGAGTTCCGGTAAGAGCGCCAATAAGTGTAAAAACTGAAATAACAAGTTTTAGATACAAAATAAAGAAAAACTCAACATATGCATAAAAGAAAAATAATAAGTGCAGAGAATATTTTCTTAATAAGTTCTGAAAAATTCAGACAGCAGAAGCTGAAAGTGGGAGTTTAGGATATTTAAATAGTATGGTTTTTGGAAGATAAATGGGCTTACTAGAATTTGGAGTCCATGAGCCGACTTGGACCAAGACCATTCCTGGGCACTGGAGAGACAAAAGTACGCCATATAACATATATACCGATCCACCGATCCCCCTTCAGTGGACTTCAAGCATTCGTTTATCAAAGCATACAGAAATTTTTTTATTGTTTACAGATAAGGTCTAAAACTTTATGTCGTTTTCTCAAAATGCTGATTTCATCCTAGAAGATTCAACTGCCCTTCCTGAAGTGAGTAAAAGTACTAGGTTTAAACAACTTTAAAATGTATTTTAAAAGGCTGTACTTACCGCCCCGGACAGAGTCATACCCACACCGAGGGTGAAAGCTCCTAGAATGCTGGTCAAAACCCCCTTAGTAGCAAACACGTCAGTATAAGCTGTCATGGTTTTGTGGAATCTTTCTTTTAACTGCGGAATGAGGTAAAATATTCCCAAGCAAATTTGCCCTAAAAACGTAAAATGCAATATCTTTTACTCGTAAATTTTTATTTGTCTTGAAATAGACTGAACAACAATACGGTTTGTATAGAGATTTTCTTAATTCGGAACTCTTAAAACTTTGTCAAACCCGAGGGCATTCGTTTAAAAGTAAGTCACCAAGATTCTCACGTTTGTTAATCAATATCGAGAATATTGGTTCGGTAAAGATTTTAAATACCCCCCCCCCCCCCAACACACACACACTGATGCCCAACGACTATATTGTTAACGTTCTTACCTGTCGCAACTGCTGAGAGAAACATCTTCAGCATAATGAAATTCGTGAACACCATTTGGTATCGAATGTGTTTCGGTTCAAACACTGAAAACAAATCAGACCTAGACTGTATATTTGGAGATATCTGGAACAATCCTTGGGGCTATTAGAGCTGTTGCAGTTTTAACTTAAAAAAGTGCAGAAAAAAATCGTTGTGGCGTCAAAAAGGCATTACTATTTGACAGAATGTAGTTAAAACTTTCTCTGAAATAAATCGTCAGGAAACAGATCTCTATCCATAGTCACTTTTTTCAAGCATATCAGTCATATGTGCACTTGAAATTTGTTTCCTGCGCACCTGATATTAGCGTAACAATCGAATGATTGCACATTACTCAACATAATGAAAATAATCACATAAAACCTGACTTCCATCACAACGAGCAGACAGGGAAGGGTTTTACCATTATGCGTAATGTAACATTAATTCAGTATTCAAACGTGTCTCTTCGCGTCGAGGGAAAAGAATAATAACCTATATACATCAAATACACATTAGGCATTTTTTTACTTCTGTAAATGTGAACGGGTTCACACAGGTATGCTCTCCTATCAGATGTGGGCCAGTAACCTACGCGTTTGGGTAGATTTTGTAAAGTGAATGGTACCCGTATACTGTTTCTCACATTTCAAAAAGGTTTGCACACTCAATACGGTAGAGCTTGACAATCAACGAAACTATCTTCGAAAATAGATCAACATAATGAAGCTTTACAAAGTTCTTTTGAAATCGTAAAAAGACGCAGGGTTTGCTTACAAAAGGAACTCAACGAAAATAAAACGGGGACAACCATTCCTTACATGGTGGGTATTTTTCGAACAAAAATATTTTTAAAAATTGATATATTTTAGTGATGATGAAAAAAAAAACGGGACATAATAAAAAGTTAAGTTTTTTAATGGGACGCCTTGATATTATATTCAAGAACTCCGTCATTTCGACAGCAGTGTAAGGAAGGCAACCGTAATGGTCAGAAGCTAACGTAGACCGTGCGAACATGCCATCACGTTTGTACTGCTTGCTTGATAAACACTGACATGAACTCTTTACAAATCACATGTTCCGAGCAGGTGAACTTATTCATTTAAATAACAATATCGTTATATGTACATGTTTGCTTTAAAATATAATATTGCGATTGACTATTGGTACTAAAGGTGATATTTCAAGTCAAAGTGTCGGAAATCAGTTGTGTCAGGTGAATATAAAGGATTATATTCTATATAAAAGGAACTTCGGTGTAGAAGTCGGACAAAATCGTGATAGCAAGTTACCTGTACGCATGCTCCACAAGAAAACTCAGCGTAAATGATCTACTTTCCAATTTATCGTCTCTATTTCTGTATTAAATAACGGTGATAAGATTCAAATAATTAACTGATCGCACTATTCAAGGCATATAATAATGCACTCCTTCTTGAGGTTTTCTAATAAAAATATGAAGATTGACTAAGTAAAAAAAAAAATCTTTCACCTGACTTCGGCCCATGGCAGATTGCCAAACAAATTAAAACACCATATCAATTTGATCTACTGCGTTTTTCTCTTTTTCAAGACATGCTCACCTCTTCCTTTTTCCATGAATATACCAAATAGTATCCCTGCTATGGCACAAGCGCCCAAACGCCAAATAGTGTCTAGCACCCCTCCGATCACCCCCTGCTGCGGCTCTTTTTTCAGCCGTTCTTCAGGTTCACCATCAAACGTTAGCTGAGTGTCAGATGCAGTGCTTAAAGATCTCTCGGCCATCCTTTAGTATTCAATAACTGAAGTTCCTCACAGTTCCTACATGAGTTTCTAGGCGAATGGTGCAGATATATTTTGATCCAGTGTCGCTTAAATAAACACTGAACAACATAAGCTATTCACCAGGCTTAAATGCACCAATCAGAAAAATCGCAACCACTAGGGGCAGCACCATAGTCCCTCTATTTTTGTAGACATTGCCCGCTGAACGTGTCCAGTTCTGGCTATTACCGTATCTGAGAACCCACTTGTACATATATTTGACACAATTTATCTTATCGTCACGTTCTGCATGTTACAAAGGTCAAAGAACACCTTTACCTCATTTACTTATCGATTTCTGTTGTGCAAAGTAATCTAATTTGTAAGAACGTTTTAATAGCTGACACTGGTATTTGATTATTTCGTCAATGCAACATTGGCATTTGTACGTTAACATCAACAAAAAATAAACCGCGCCTAATTTATTTCGAGTCATTTGAATTTTAGAAAAAATATTTTCCTAGATATGGGCCTCAGATCAGATATTCTTCAAACAGAGTATCCATTTTAAAATTTAATAATTAAACCAAAAACACTCAAAATTTCCGGTGATGTAAAAATATTTATTTAATAAGTACAGTATAATACAATAATAATAATATAATAATAATAATTCTTTTTATTACAAAACATGTTTTTTTCTGATGGGTCTAGATTTAACAGCAGTTATACTGCAGTCACAGTGGTTATAGGTCACAAACATTAAAGCCAGCACAGAAGATATAATAGTGAATGCTTGACACAATGCAGAGGAATGCATCTCCGTTTGTAAAGGTCACCTGATAATATAATTATCATACTTGATATGTGATCACCAAAACATATGCTACTTAAATATCACTATATCAAACCCTCTTTGCTTATTCACAGGAGAAATCGGTTAATCATCAGCAGTCCAAATAGCCCAACAAAATTGTCATAGTTGTGAAATTCACATGGCATGCTTTGTGGAGAAAAAAACATTTACAGCAGCCAAAATTGTCTGATTTAATTCCATTAATACAAAGTCCTCCTTGCTTACTCAGTGATATGTTTTTTACAGCAGTAAAAAAAGGGGGGTCTACGTATGTACAATCTTCTACTGATTTGTTCAAATATCTCCAATCTATACAAATAGTTTTCAAGACAGCTGCCTACATTAACCCTATACAGCATAATAAGCACCCGGGGAGACAGTTTTATATGTGCACATACATATTGGCAAAGTTAAGTGACAAGTACAGCCCTATCCCCATTGAGCACGAAAGCTGGGTACAACACTTGTCAATGTTTTTATTTTTTTTAAAAAGAAAACTTCTATTTACAAGTTTTGTTTTGATAAAAACAAAGTAAATGCATGTCATGTAAAATATCATAATGATAGTGTTTTATACAAAATTAGGTGTATAAGAGGTGCTACAGTAATATTCCAGGTTGTTTTTACTTAAAAATATACAACTTTTTAGTTAAGTCATAATCTCTTGTGGCAACTACAACTATCTTTTGGAATCTATTCAACTGGTCAAGAAATATTGCATCTGAGATATGAAATGTGTTCAATGAGTTCACTTACCAATTCATTACAAAATAACTTTTAAAGAAAAAGGCTGACGTCCTATGTCATTCGGCAAACTTGATCATTTTATAAAGAACATTTCACAAGTACATACTTGTCATCATGATATGAAAATAAGAGTTGTTTTTACAAATGCTACATTGTTCTTTTTCATAAATATATTTTGATATACTTTATAAATATATACGTATATATACGTCATCAACTGTCCGAAGAATCTACAGAATCATTTTCAGTTTTTTTTTGTACACATTTTTTTGTTTTGTTTTGTTTTGTGAAAGTTAAAGTTAAAGTTATTTCTTAGAAGTGATCAACTAGCACTGAAACACTGTTCTTGCCAACACGTCCTTGAGAAATTCCATCTAATCCTGCAAGACTCAAGTTCTGCCAATTACTGGGATGAGCTGGAAGAGAGGGATGACTCATTATTTCTAACCTTTGGAAATCTTGTAATCACAAACACGTATCTAATGTTAAAGGCTGACTGTGTGATCAGCAGCATTTTAGCATAAAATTAAAGAATGACCACGAAAAACAGAGCTAGGTAAGGTAGGGTAATGTGAAAAATCTATAATCTTGATGATTGCGCTGATATGGTGAAATTATTTAATTCAGTTTTCATTAATTGTGGTAATCAATTCACTAATCACTTTACACCAATTCTCCAGTTTTGATATGCAATTATTACACAAAAAATGTAAAAGGTTTAGTTGTACTCTTAAAAAAAATCATCATAACATCTTTCTTACATTTCATTTTGATGCGCATATCATTCTCACAACATTAAAAATCAATCAAAAATTAAATTCTACTCACTTTTCCCTTGAGGAGAGTCAGTAGATTTGAGTGAAAAAGACCAGCTGTCTGGGTTGACAGAGGCACAATGAGGTAGTCTCAGTTCTACTGGCTGCTGGAACTTCAGGCCATGGGGACCGCACATTACCAGGGGGCTTAGCAGGGTCTCGCCTAGAACACAAACCAAGACACTCCTTAACTACAAAGTACATCTTTCCATTTTCACTACATTTCTAAGTCAAAAAACACTAAGGAGTACTTTGATGATCAACTGGAAAACCACTGCTAGTTAGATGTCCTTTTCTGAAACAATGTCTCTTAAAGTTAATATGTATTTTTAAAACTCTATTCTCAAGTACTTTAAATACATCTTTCAATTTTGTCAGGGTGAAATTTTATACTTGCTGTAAGCTGTAAGTTTACTTGAAAAAATTCATCTTAAACTTCTTGCCATTGACATATATGTGCAACCATAGCATATCTAAATTTCTTTTTACCCTTTTCTTTGTCCAGAGGTGGCAAGATGCTGTTGTCTTGACAGACCTTGAAGTAGATTTCTTGTTTTACGCCTTCTTCTATGGCTCCTTTGGGAATGATGATACTGACACCTGAAATTACAGAGCAACCATTTTATTATCTTTGTATTGCCTGTGACTTGATTCATTTCTTGACTTGCTTTAGCATATTAATTTGGCATGTAACTATGAATGAGTCAAACAATCACTTTCTCCAATAGTGCCATTTATATTTTTTATAAGTTTTTTTTCTGTTAGGGGTGCCTAAAATTTAGTTAAGGAAAGGAATTTTTTGTTAAGAATCTATTTGACTGAAGATGTTCATGAGGATACCTAATCAAATAAAACAAATTTTACAACATGAAAGTAACTTTATACTGTTTCTGAAATAGGTAAAGTAAAATACAGCTTATCAGCTGACAGAAAAGTAGGCCAACATATACACAACAACAGCCTTATTAAATATTCTCAACTGACCAGTTTCTTTAGATTCCAGCACCCCACCATTGTGGTCAAAGCTGCCTCTGGCTGTGGCTACTACAGTGTGGTTCCCAGGTTCTGATTCCCCCGACCCCTGGCGTTCATGGTTCTGGTCCATGTGGGGCATGCCAAACTGGACAGGTTTTCTGTAGGATTCGAACGCACTGCCCCGGCTTCCATGAGAGTCCACTTTACGTGGGTCATCCCTGGATGATATATATTGTATCCATGTAATATAGTGAATTATTGGTTCAGACTTGATACAAGCATCTATACTAGAAGCTGGCACAACAACAAGCCAAAGCCACTGATACTAATTGTTATAACTTCAGATCTGAGCTTCTACAAATATCAAGCACAAAAGCAAGAATGCCATTAAGTTAGTGACATATTTCATTTAATATAACATGCATTTCACCATTTACACAATAACTTACTTATGCATTTACATCAAAAGCATTTCATGAAACATGCATTACATTACATTACATATACTTTTATATTCACTACCATCTATTGTTAATAACTTGTGCAGTTTTAAAAAACAACAACTGCTGCTGCCACACATGCTTCAGTCAGTCATTCCCACAAGCATTGTTTACCTGTCCCCCGGAGAAGTTTCTTTCTTGCTCCCATAAAAACCTGGGGTCACAAATTTCTTGTAAGATTCAAAAGTATCGCCACGCGGAGCTGACGAGGAGGAAGGGGATTGTGAGTTGTCGGGGGCAAAAACGCTGTCAGATCTGAAACATCAAAAGCATGCAGGACTAGTGCTACAACTAACATGCAGAAAGAGGTGCCATGTACCAAGAGAGAGAGAATGGGCTCATTCCAGCTTTTAAGTTTTTAACTATTAACTTACAAAGTTTTGGCTTATGGAAAGCTTTTTTTTTCTGCCAATCTACTAGTAATTTCTAAAAGATATTTTAGTATTTAGGTCAAAATCAAAGTTATGCTAGTATGAGCCCAGATAAAGAAAATACATTCAAGTGATAATCTAAGGACTGGAACAATGACAGATTGCATTCAGCAGCCAAAATAAAACGCAAATGTTCTTTTCTCTGTTGCAATTAACTTAACAATTTGCTGCAAGTCATGCAATGTAATTTTACATTGATACAGTCCCAGATGAAAAAATCTAAACAAATTTGAGTTCACTCTAACTTTATTTTTAAATTTTTCATCTATCATAAAAACTATACTACTTCAACCCTAATACACTTTTTTCTTCAAAACCTAATTTAGTCAACTTGTATTTTATGGATTCTCAACAGAGTAGGTTAGAGTGAGCTCAGTGCACAAAACCAATTTTCTAGTCAACACTAATAAGGCAAGCAGATGCACAATCACTTCAGTAATGAGGCTGTTAAACTAACAACTAAATTACTGACTAACTGTGACCTTTGAACTTACCTGGATCTATCACTAGGATATCCAGAGTCCCTGGCCAAGTAGGAGTCTTGAGAATTATGAGACATCTGATCTGGATGAGACCTGATCCTCTCCACCTCCCTCTGCTCCATGTAGGTTTGATTAGAATAAGACCTAGGAGCACCATAGCTTGGATTTCCTCCATTCTGGTAAGAGTCATAGGAGTCTCTGCTATAGCTGCCCCGCTGCCTTCCATCGTACCCAGCACTGTGCACAGGGGGAGGGGGCTGGTGCTGCTGGTACGATGGACCATATGGGCTCCTGGGCTGGGAAGAATAGGAAGACTGCCTCACACTGCCATACGGTGGCTCAGTCCTACTCCTGTCATAGGAATCTTTGTGGGGGGACATCCCGCCTGGGTGACCTTGATGGCTGCCGTCACCAAAGTCTCTGGAGGATCGTTGTCCATTTGGTCTGTGATCATAAGCTCGCTCATAATTAGAATCTCTGGGTGGTGTGGGTTGGTCATAACTTGATCTCTTGCTCCTGTCAGGACTGTAACCTGGGTACCTGTGTCTGTCTGGGCTCATAAAACTTGAAGAAGTATAAACACGCATTGTGTTACAAAGTATTCTTTACTGCATGGATGTAAACTATTCACAGAACGCCATTAGTGACTTAGAGACCACTAGTGATTTTAAATATAAGGTAAGAAAAAAAGTAAATAAATTTACCTTTAATATTATAAAAATCATGTACTTCAGATGATGGAAATAAATTTTTCTAAAATATTAGCACTATATTTGTTATGCTTCAATCAAAATTTTCTTCATACATAAACACATGCCAAAGAACTCACTTCTGTCTGTTAGAATTCTCATAATTCCTCATCTTCTGTTCATCAGGCTCCTGCCCCTCCCTCCTGCCATTGTAGTCATACATGGGTTTGGCAGGGTACTGAGGGGTGTAGGGCTGGCTAGGTGGAGGGTTGTGGTACACTGTGGATTCGGACTTGGCTTTTAACTGGTCAGTGAGATGGCGGTCAGGAACAGTAGGGGAGGACACTGGCTTTGCTGGGCTGCCTTTCAGCTTGGAGAATGGGTCATCTCTGGAGAAGGACGGAAACATTGTTTGCAAATGGTTGAAGCTATCTAGAGAGGCTTGGTCTTGTTAGTTGTAAAAACCCTCACAAAAACAATTCACTATTACTATTATTATTAATAATTCAAAATTTTAAAACCATTATGAGGAAATCAATGAAGGCAAATGGAAGCTTAAATTTGAAAATCAAACATAATGCAAAACCTTCATAATAATAATCTCAATTTTATTTGTATTTTCTATGTCAATAGTACATATCCAAAAGCATCAAAGAAACTGATCGACAACAAAATATTTCATGAAATTTGTCATAGAAATAAAGCATATTCATAATTACTTGTATTTGGACTGTAATCCAGACAGCTTGCTCTTATCAATGGTGGCAGTTTTGTATGGGTTGGCAGTGCTCCTTGTGAACCTGTAGGGGTCATTACTGGCCGGCTTCCTAGTGGGACTGGCAGGCTGTGTGATACCAAACTTTTCTCTCAGTTTCGAATCGTCATGCTTGTTGGCAGGATTAGACGTGTAACGAGATATGGAGTCACTGCTGTAGGTGGAGCTGTTGGAATCCTGAAAGAGAAGTTTGTATGTCGTGAAAGGAATATGCAAATTTTTCCAAGTAGTAATAATCATTTGTTACTTACAACAATATTACCTGCGTTGTACCTAAAAACAAAAGATGCTGCCAAAAGTAATCAATGGTGTGTGTATATAGAGCATTAACATGAAAAATTGTCTAAAAAGCATGTGCAGAGGAACTCATTTTGAGCATGTGCTTCATTATTCAAAAATTTTTGTAAAGTCAAGGACGTGTTATTAAAACTTTGGAATGATAATGAAAAACATATCAACCCTTCAATCTGTATCTGTAACTGGCAATAAAGTAGCGACCATATGACCATACCTTTTGATCTTGGTCAGGTTTGGGTAAAGGTGCTGGTCTTAACCTATCCAGTGCTGCTCCTCTTGGACCATCTGGACTGCGATCATATGAGCCATCTACACATACAAAAAGAAGATATCTTCAACTATGTGACTTTAACTTGGTCACCTCATGATAAGAACAAAATGTATGAAGAAGCAATTAAGAAGATAACACTTCAAAACTGATGAGATATGGACTCGAGTCACTTTCTTAACCCCAATAGACAGGCAGAATTTAGAAAATAACACTTCAAAACTTGAAATATGGACCTTAGCCACTTTCTAAACATCAATAAAATGAAGACTTTCTTCCAATGGTACCTCTCTCATCCTCATGACTTAAACTCCTCAGCCTCTCACTAGGTGTCAGTGTGGCATAGGGGTCAATATTGGACCTGGCGTGTGGCGGACGCTCCCTGGGAAGACTGTCAGCATAATAGGATGGATAGTACTGATCCTCCGACCTCTGGCCATAGGGACCATTTTCTGAAATACAATCTGTTTGCATTTCATAAAGACCAATTAATAAATGGTTCCTCAAAAAATCAATACAGAATATGCATGAAACATTTAATGAAAATTCCATCAGTAGTAATACATAGGCCATTAATTTCATCAAACTTGTGCTTCATTGAGTATATTTTGAATTAGAGCAGTTACTCCCTCATCCTTAGTTTCATGATAATATATTTTTCTGACAAGACCATATGCAACTTAACAAAAGTATTCAAATTAAAATCATGAGCTCTATCCATAAGCTTACCTTGAGGAGCATGATTCTGATCATGTTCCCTTCTGGCATTTTCATAGTACCTGGATTTAGGCTCATAGCCTCCCCTTGGGTCCTAGAAATCATGTCACAGAAATGTCATTTTCAAATACTACATTTTGGAGTTCTGAACAAACACCACAGATTTCAACTTCAACAAAACAAAACAATGATATCAGACATGTCATACGTTTCATTCAAAAACCTCAGTGAGCCCTGTATTATTTGTAGATAAATCATCTAAAAATGTAACAACCTGTCTGTAGTCCCTAGTGTAGCTGGGAGGTGCATGATATGGTGGAATGCCTGGTACATTCTCTCCCGTTGCTATACTTGGGTCAGAGGAAGCACGGACCAATTTCTTCCTGGCGGGGGGAGTGCCATCCTCCTCATCGCTCATGCTCACTGGCCGGCTAAGGTCAAGGTCACTCTCTGGGGAGGAGGCATAGCTCAGGCGATTGGTCATTGGGAAGAGGAAGTCTTCACTAGTTGCATCTTCAGGCTGCAGAATATGAAGAATGAACATTCCACAAACCACGTTTTCAATTTGGGCAACAATGGTTGTAATTTGTAATTACTAAATACAAAGCGAATGACTTCAGACTAATTTAAAAGGCTCTTAGTTCCATGTATGTGGATACAATTTGGAAAGTGAACAGTACATAAAATAAATCTATTTGTAGAATTTCTAGTAATTATACATTACGTTCTACAATCGCGTGAATAACATTTTAACAGTTTCCAGTATGTTTGTTAAATTATGCCATATATTCATAAAAAACATGTAATTCTCAACACTAACCCTCATTTCTGACATCCAAATTTTCTGTTCCTGTTGTTTTTCTATAGCTTCTTTAACTTTTCTCAGCCAAGTATCACCCTCTCCAGTGATAGAGATGGTGTCTGGGAATATAAACAATATACTTGAGTTAAGCATGACAGTAGTTCAAATAGAAAAGCTTTGTTTCATTAGTTGAATGGCAATAGGTAGTTTGAATGTTACTAAATGTACTGAGTTATCTTCTTTTTAAAAAATAATATTCATACTGATATCTGAATTCCACACAGACTTATCTTAAAAACTTTTTTGTTGCAAAACAACAAAAATACAAGGCAAACACAATAACAACCATAAAAAACTCACCTGAGAACAAATAGCTGTAGTTCTGTTCCAATTTGACAGCCTGCTCATACAGTTTCCTGGGGCTTTTACTGGACCCCCTTGCCCATCTTGACCTCAGGTCCTTCACAGAGTGCTTGCTGTCTGCGTGTTGAAAGATGGCGATGGGATAGTACTGAGCATAGTTGAGACGGTCCACTGCATTGGGTGTCACATCCAGGATACAGTGCTTTTCCTAAAAATAGAAATTTTATTTGAAGAATGTGTGAGCATTTCTAAATGCACAAATGCTATTATATTATTTTTTCAAACGGGAGAACTTTTCAGATCAGCATGAACATGGGATGATCAGCACTTGGGATGAAAACAACAATTATCAATCAAAGTCATAGCTGTATATAACAATTTTACTCATTTCATCATGTGTTCAAGCATTAGAAAAAATGTGTGACAAATCTTTGGTGTCTAAAATTGATATCTCAAATCAGCTACCATACACACACACAAACACACACACACTCACCTTGTCAATGATTTCTTTAATAGCACCTAGTTTAATGATACCAGACTTGCTGCCTTTGTCGTCTTCCTTGCGACCATCACTCTCTGCAAAATAAAAACAAAACCTGAACTCTTTGCCTGCTATCTTACATATTTCTGGAGAAAACTTTCAATTAACTGTCTCATTTACACAGTTTCTTACTTCAGAAGCAAATCAAATTGATCTTATTTCACTAAAGGTATCATGGCATTTTTATTTGAGATAGAAGTTTTGTCTATAAACTTAAGGCATTCGCTATGAGTTATGTTCACTTACGTGGTGACTCAAATTTATCAGGCTTATCCCTTAAAAGTCTGTCTCTGGCAACATCAGCTAATGGCCCAAATATGACCACTGGACGCACAAAACCAGCTGCACAAAGATAAGAATATGGAATATTGCATGACATATACTCATTTCAAAAAGGTTTTTATTTCAATATTACATGAAGACCCCAAGAAAGGAAACGGAAACAGCAGGCTAAGTAATGGAGTGATGACAGACGAATACAACAGCTGCCCAGATTTAGAAAGATATGCAGTTAAATGAGTACAAGATAGGATGGCTGAGTCTTTTCAATGTGGTTAAATGAAAAGAAACTATAGCCTTGCAACTTAATGAGCTAATATTGTATTTCAGAATAAACATTTAATCTCAGAATGTTATGGATTCATTTGACAAATATTCTGAACTTACGATCTTTAAGAACCACCCTCTCATATGCAGAAAACTTGGAAGCTGGATTAGCTAAAATGACAAAAAAATATTGTTATCTTTCAACTATTCAAGTTATTTCACTTATTGCGTGAAAATTAAGAACAAGATACAAGGGCAATCAATGAATTGTTTAAAAATAAACATACCGATCAAGAATCAAAAACAAAAGAATCAACTGGATAACAAAAAAAAAAAAAAAATGCCAATGATATTACAATCTTATGATTTTATTAGAAAGCTTGCCATCTTTGATAGCTATGATATATAACCATATGAAAATTTCCCTTTTCAAACGCATGCTTATAGCCAAGCTCTCATGCCAGACAGCCAGGTAGCTGAATTTCCCCCAAGAACCAAGAAGTACTGATTTTTCCACTGCAGGTGTCTTCCACAAGTTAAGTAAATATTTAAAGTTAAACAGTCCAGTTATATTTTGTTTGCACAGGTTTATGAGTCAATATTATATAAACAGGCTGAGTTACAATTACTGAGATTACAGAAGTGATACTGTTGATTGAATGAATGAATAAGAAGTTGTTTATTTGCATAGGACAATGGCAAATATCCACCCCATGCGTTTTATGCCACCATCAACTGACAGAATTATAAAGGAAAAAAATGTTGATATTTCATGAAATTATCACAGAACTCTCTGGCATCAAATGTTAAAAGAGACTGTGCAACGCAGTAGATGCCCTCATTATGATGGGAGGAGATAATCATGAATTAGTGGATAAATTTAGGAGTGGAATCGAGCACAGCAGCACTGCATGCATTTGTCCAACATTCTCAATTCTCCATCTTCAAAACAAAAATCTGCTAAAAACATAAGTGTAAATGCAAATGAACAAAGAGCAAACAGGTATGTTCGGTATATAATTATTGCAATAAACAAGACGTAAATGTGAAGAAAACAGGCAAATAAGATATAAATATTTGATTTAAAAAAACTAGAAAAAAAATTGAGAATTGAGCTGCACACATGCATGCTTCTGAAACCATCTCAGCTATGAAATCATTTCAAGGGCCCCCGTGCACAGCATTCCAACAGAACCTGTCATTAGTTTGATAATAATATCAGTAAACCCCTTACATAGCTTACATAGCATTAGGGTCACCTACATTCACTTACCATGAGCTCTTGCTATAAAAGTTAGAAAAGAAAGAAGTCAGTTTTCAGTAATCCAGTTCTTTATATTCTGTATTCGACATGCTCTTTTCAATCACCTAACATGATCGACTTACAGAATCCCTTTTCCCAATACAAATCAACTGAAAATGTGTACTATCTAATTTTCTATATAAATACACAATCATCCCGAAATTAACCTCATGCCAATCTAACTATATTTTTAAGTACTAGTTATATCAATTTTTTTTCCAGAAAATGTGTCTACATTCCTGACATGCTTGGCCAGCCAGCCATTCTATTGCCTAATTTAGCCCTACTTCGCATAGCAGAGTTAAAGGGTTGGAGTACTTACAGAAGATAACGTCGTCCCAGTGATCTTTCCCTAAGGATTTAGACCTCCTCTCAACCTTACGCCTGAAAAAGCTACTTCTACGTTTGCCTGGAGTGTTCTCCTTGTTGCTGGGGTCATTTTGGGAAGATGCTAGGGCCAATTGGTCTGCCCTGTAAAATTAAGGATGAAAAATACATATATAAATTGTTTTCATTTTTCTTTTCAGAAAACACATCTTCACTATAATGAAAGAAGAACCTCTTGAAATCTATTCTATTATCTTTTGAACATTTATTCCGAGGACCTAGAAGCTGATGTCATGATTTTGATGACATAATTCCACCTCCTAATAGGAATGATACAATAAAATACCTGACAAACATGTCTTTTAAAGAGTCACAACCAATGTCCTTGAGCCACTGATGTACATCTACATACCTGTTTTTGTTGGGAATAATTCCTTTCTGCGTTTCCTGGTTGTTTCTTCCCATCCTGACAGCCACCCAGGCCCCCACCACACCTCCTTGTAGAGTGTCAACAACGTGGAAGACGTCGCCATTGCGGAAACTCATCTGACCAGAATCAGCACTGTCGTTGTTGAAATGCACCCTGAACAGAAAAATTAGGAAAATAAACATTTATCTCTCATATTACTATAGAAATTCACAACACAAAGCAAGATTTACACATCATAATATTGTCTAAGAGTATGAAGAGTTCTAAGAAAGTAATTACACAAAAGATTTAGCAATACATATTAATTCTTTATGAATACTTTATTATAAAGTCTGACTTTTTTTACCTGATGTAAAAAGAATCCCCATTTTCCTTGCCAGAGAGGATTCTGTCATAATCTAAATAAAAAAAATAAAAAACAATACAAATAATTAAAAAGAAGCCATAAAGTCACATAAAAATTTCTTCCTAAAAGAAAGTGATAACAAACAATACTGTCAACATAAAAATGATGATCATTATCTGGCTGTATCTATACCAATAAATTGCATCTTAATAAGATTATAATATTCTTAAGTATAAAACATATACCGTAACATCCAATTTTCCAGCTACTGTTTTTCTCTCACCTTCTCTCCTATACTGTGCCACTATGTTGACTTGGTCATGGAGGCTAAGCAGTAAAAGGACAGCTTCTTCTCGTGTCATGTTTCTCATATCTATGTCATTCACCTGAAATTAGACATGGCATCCTATAAATCAGCACTGTTTTTCTAGTGAATTATCAAATTTACAGCTGCTGCTTTTATCTTAATAAACATAGTTCTGTCTGCAGATATAATCTCTTCTGTCTGCTCTCAGGTGCGGCCTAATTTTAAGAAATAATAAAGCAAAAAATTTTTCTAAAAACACTAATTTTTTTTTTTTTTTGCTGTCATGTTTTAAAAGAATTTTTACCAAAAGTTAAGCAGTAATAAGATATGGACTGTTCATGCATATACTGAGTGTATATTTTCTATTCTTCATTTTTTAATCACAACAAATGAAAGGATAATATGAAGATGCAAACGACAATAGGAAAACAAAATACCAGGCATATCCCTTTTTTGGCCTTCATTTGACCTGAACTGACCTTGAGAATCTGGTCTCCCTCCTGCAGTCCCTGCATCTCTGCTGGGCTGCGGGGCTGTACAGCTGCCACAAAGATCCCCGTCACATTTCCACCAGCTAAACGAATACCTACGCCGCCTTCTTTCCTGAACGAAATCAGCCTGGGAACTCCCCTGGAATAACAGAAATGTGGAGGGTGGGTGCATGGAACACTCAGCATTGTTTAGAGACTGGGTAAAGGGCATGGAATGCAAGTGAGTGGATACTGAGTTTAGGTTGCAAGTGTTCTCATGTCGTAACAGCTGTCGCCTACTGTAACATGACTTGACAATACACAGACAACAACTGCTTATTTGAACAAAAAACATACAGTGACAGCTGGGATGGTGGATCTGCAAACAGTGACTCAGTATAACATCTCCAGCAGAAGTCATATCAACCATGCATGCACAGTAAGTCCTCCTTCTGCTGATTTGACACCCACAACCAAACAGCTGAGCTAATCTCTAATGAAATCAAAAACAGCCAACTACTGTATTCATTCAATAAAACTCATCTTCCAGCAACCATTTAGCCTGCACGTGCATAATTTCCCTTGTATGATAACAATAAAATGAAAATAAAATCAACTAACAATTAAAATCAAGTGTACACCAGGACCACCAAATTCACCAACTGAAATAATGTATGGAAAAACAACAAATAACAGGGAGGGTAAAATCAGTATCTGACAATGTGCAAACTGTCAGCTAACTGTCTGCCTGCCTGGATGTCTGCCTCCCTGCTACCTTGTGTTATACAACTAGACAACAAACTTACCTGAATGGGTACAGTGAGTAAGGAATGTGTGGACTCCACAGCCTGTTGGGAGAAAGAGACCTCATAAGCACCAACAGACACACTGAGCTAGGATGGGGAGAGGGGGATGTGTGGCCATTACCAGAGTTCAACATATACAAAAAAGGAGGCTAGCTGTGATTTTAACATCGGTTTTTCATGAATTTCTGTATAATCCTTGCATTACTAGTACATGGAACCACTAAAGTTTACTGGTTTTATATCATAGTCCAACATTTATATGACAAACAACACACAGTGTTGATGTTAGTGTGGTACACATTTTCCAACTCCCATTATCATATTGAAGCTAATATATGTAAACAGCTACAGTTAATTACACCCTAGTTTGTTCAAAAGCACCTAAAGCACCTCCCATTAAAATCTATGCACAATACTGCAAGTCAAAGACCCTCTAACTTGTCAGCCAAGCTGTCACCAAATTTCATCATCACCTACACACAACACATGTTACACTGTTATGAAACAAGGCATTAAGCTTCCCAAACCAAAGCACGAGGTCCACAAGTGCTTCTTTTTTTTTCATTCACTTGCACTTGCAATTTAATTACTATGTTCCATCCTGTATTCAAACAGCTCATTTCTGTTAACCAATCATCTAATAACTATTTCAATGACTTGATTAGTAGCTTCTTAATATCTAAGCAGTTTCTTTTATTAATTAGGTTACTACTTGTGCACATTTCAGCAAACACTAGTAGTTACTTACTAACCAAAAAATGAAACAATAACCAGTGCACGATTTCTCCCAATTAATTAGCACCATAAAAACGATTGCCATAAGTAAGTTAAAACTCATCAAAAACAAATCGTTAAGCATAGTTTCTTTTCACTAGCCTATTCAATGTTATATAGATGTAACTTACTCTTGAGGCCTGTGAGGTTTACTGTATGGGTCGTTGGGATGAAGTTCTTGACCAGGCGTTGGTGGACGTGCAGGAGGATCTAGAGACAGAATTTTATCATATGCAAAACATCTAAAATTACATCATTCACAAACAGCAAATTCATTATTTTTTTTAATTGTTAACTGATTACATGGTGGGGACATTGTCAAACTATCATGTTAATGTACAATGCACCTTGAAAACCCCAAAAACTCACTGGTATTCTCCCAATTTATCAAATTTAGACTTGAAAGTAGCAGCTTCTACAGGGTCAACAGAAAAATATTGTCTTAAGGCAACATGGTATAGCCTCACCTACAGGGTTGTTATTATTGCAATCTTTTTACCATGTAATTCAGTTACTACAAAGCTCTTGAACGAAACACAGCAGGTAGACGCAGATTGAGCTCTAACATCCAGTGAAGTTATTTTCACAACTGTTCTTCTCAAAATAGCCCACAAAGGTTATAGTGGTGTATGCCCTATGTCCTGCATAAAGTGCTCCCTAGTTTTCAGCAATTTTCTTTGTCTTTGCCAATTTGTAATGAGCAATTAACAAAAAAGCTCTCAATAGACATCAACAGCAAAGGAACCTGCTTTTTCTTCTACTTGTCATATTAATTAGGAATCTACCTACCTGCATCCATACTAGGCAGTGGAGGTCTAGGAGGGGGTTCATCATACCCCGGTGGTCCCCCCTTGCCTAGCAG